AGGAAAAAGATGCGGACCATCAAATGACCAACCAATGGCTGAAGACAGCTGGGCACAAGTCCGAAGCAGGCCATGGATTTATTATTGCTGCCTAAGATCAGGCCATCAAGACCAACTACTGTCGTAGCAAGATCCTAAAAGATGGCACAGACCCAATGCACAGGATTTGTGGTCAATTTCAGGAAACTATTCACCATATTGTGGCAGGGTGCCCTGAGCTGGCCAAAACTGAATACCTACACAGACACAACAAAGCCGCCATGCTCATACCTCCGCTGGAACATCTGCGAAGAGATGAATATAGACATAAACGAGAAATGGTACGGGCATGCGCCCCAAACAGTGACAAGACAACATCACAATCTTGTAGCAAATGCCAATACAAACAGATCTTGAGATAAAGGCCAAAGACCAGACATTGTGATCAAGAACAAATACGAAAAAAGCTGCCTGCTCATTGATATGTCCATCCCCACTGAAAAGAACACTTCAGTTAAAGTAACTGAAAGACTCTCAAAATACAAAGACCTTGAAATCAAAGATGAAAGAATGTGGGGGATAAAAGCTACAACAATTCCGGTAGTGATAGGGGTCCTGGTACTAATCAAGAAAGGGTTGGAAAAATATGTACAACAGATCCCGGGTAACATCAAAATGCATGAACTACAGAAGATCACACTACTTGGCACATCTCACATCCTAAGAAAGGCACTCTCCATCAAATAGACTTCTACCTCATTCTAACCCTAGGTTCAAGGAATGGACTTGGCTATTCTGTTGTACTATGGTATTCCAATAAAGAAGATAATAGCGATAATAACAATAATAATAACGATAATAAAAATAATATTATTACTACTACTACTACTGCTAATAATAATAATAACAGAGTAGTAGTAGTAGTAGTAGTAGTAGTAGTAGTAGTAGTAGTAGTAGTAGTAGTAGTAGTAGTAGTAGTAGTAATAGTATTAATAAGATTCTGTAAGATTCTGTTAATAGTAGTTTTAATTCACAGTCACCTGCCTGCAAAGGGAAAACGGTGGTGAATTTTCAAAACGTTAATAGGCTGGACAAACTGATTCAAAAGCTACGGGAATGTCGTCTTAGCCCTAAAACTCCCACCGTAAGACCAGCCTATATCATCATTTGTCTTACATCTTTCAGTCGCCTCTTGGCACACTTTTGTTACGAGTGTCCTTGCAGATCTTCTAATGCAATTAAGTCACCAGATCCTCGGGCTGTGACATTGCCTGGTTAGCGAAAAACCTTTTTTTCTCTTTTTATCTCCAGGTCATATTAGTGGCTACAAATCTAAGGCGACAAAACCCTCGCGTACGTTCTTGATTATTCAAATCATACTCAGAGCAGGAATCAATCCAAAGATCAAGATGCACATTCTTCTTGCTTAACCCATTCGCCCCTGGGAATTTCGCCCAAAAACGGGTTTTAAAGCCAGTCGAACCATTTTCTGGTTTAACAAGCGAAAATTTACCGCAAAACCCATTGAAGATAATGCACTTCGCAGCCCTAACCTCGTTTCCAGAGGCTACAATGACAGTTGCGATCCTTTTGTTCAATTCATTAGCTCGCGAATTTTAGACATGCGCAGAAAGCAAAATTTCGAGATAGTTTTTGGGTTTAAAAGTGACACAGCAGTCTTGACTTTTTCTCTCCGCTTTCTCTCCACCCCTCTTAATTCGCTTTTCTTGTCAATTTCTTGTGTTTTCCTGGACTTTCTTTCAGAGAGAAAAGTTTTTGGAATCACTTTCATGAGTCGGATTGAGAAGAGCACAATTTTTTCCTCTTGCGTTTAAGAAGTTCTCGACATACAACAAGTATTTTTGGAAAGGGACGCGTTAACGTAAGAAAACAACGGGAGACGACGTATGTGAAGCGAAATTTATGATTATACGTATACAGTTGTAATTACTTGGGATAAACTTCTCCACACTTTCAGACCCACAGGACGCTTTTTCCCACATTCAACTTCGCGAGTTAGTCTACTTATAGTATTTTCCTTTTCTTTAATGCAGTGGATAAACAGACCATGAAGTTCCAAACTGCTTTTCGTCTGAAGTTGGAGAATTTTCTTTATTGGTCATGGACCTTGGCGACATTTAACAGCCTGATTTTAAGACTGGATTGGAAATAGCTTGAATTAACCTTGGCTGCCAAAGAAACACGACCTGATGGAATTTCTAAACGTCAATAGGCCGGGCAAACAATGTTTGTTTGGTTCATCTTGTCAAGTGACTTTTGGGTCAAGTTCGAAACTGATGGAGACCTCGTGGAAATGTCCTGGGACTCTTGAGATGTCTCAAATAAGAGGATGTAAGTATATTTCATTCTGGAAAAAACGTCTTTCACCTGCTGTAGGACACGCAGGCTATCACCTTGTTTTGATCTTTCAGGCTGATTTCATGATTCTGTTACAAGTTTTCGGTCGCATCGATAGCATTTTAGTATGATTAACAGTACTACTTGCAGATTTCCTATTGCAGTTATAAGGGTACCAGATTCTGACTAGGGTACTGTAGTTGCCTAGTTAGACAAGAACGCAGTTTTTCTTGTTTTCGAAGGGTCATATTGCTGGCTCCAAATCTATTAAAAGTGTCATAACCTTGACGTTTTTCATTTATAAGATCAATTTTGCTTGTTACAGGAATAATTGTAAATGGCGTGAGATTAACATGCACGTTCTCCATACTCATTCCCTTACCGTTCATCTGGTGCTAACGAGGAGAATTTGATTAGAAATCGCAATGTTTTTCGCTGCTGAGCAGTTTCTTCTATTTTCAGCCATTTATGATTGATACTGTTTCAGTGGTAGGATATATAGCGAGAATATAAATTGATGTTGATCACTGTTAACCGTGCAGAAACTGTTTCTTGTGATCACAACTGAAAGCAAACGCACCCACGGACATTTCAAGTATTTCAATATTATACATAACTTACAGCTAAAATCAAAATTGCCCGTCGGAAAAACGTGAAAGCGCTAAGTGCTTTTTTAAATGTACGAGCGTCCTGAAAGATACAAGAATCCATTGAAAAGAAGGTTTCGCAAAGCCGAGAAGGCTACAGTTTCCGTTATGTTTGGTAAACTTTGGTTTGTTTTGGTTCTTGGACCTGTGGGACCTCAGGGACCTCTGGGCCGAAGGTTCGTGATGTCATTATTTTCAACAGCCAATGAGGGGCAAGAATTTAATTTGCATATGAATAACATACCAAAAAACCATTGAATTTGTAACCGAGCCGGGATAGCGCAATTGGCATAAGCATTGAATTGGTAATAAGTTGGCAAACAAAGAGGTGACGGGTTCGAGTCCCGCCTGATTAGCATAAAAAAGAAAAAAAAACAGATGAAAAGCGCGGCTTGCATCTGGGAGGGCTTGGGGCAAGGAGAGGAAAGAAAAAAGGCCTTGGGAAAGGGTATGGGAAGCGGGAATTGGTACACCGGCCCGCCCCCGGGCCGGGGGGAGGGCAGGGACAGGGGTGTAGGCGGGAGGGGGGTAGGTAGATAGGTAGAGCGGTAGATAGATAGATAGATAGATAGATAGATAGATAGATAGATAGATAGATAGATAGATAGATAGATAGATAGATAGATAGATAGATAGATTGATTGATTGATTCACTTTTATTTGAATACGGTAATTTCATAAGTTACATAACTTCTTTACATGAAAGGCGTATAGAAACAGAAGTAAATACTGTACAACTACACTAAAAATATGTACAAATAATAAAATATAGTAAAATGTAGTCAACAGTTTGCCTGCCTACTAGCCAGTTTTCTTTTAAAGATAGCTTTAGATTCGGACGCTTTTATGTCATTTGGTAATGAATTCCACAGCATTCCTCCTCTGTATGAGAAAGACCCCTTATAATATTCTGTTTTTGGAACGTGGTCCAGTACAACATTATATTCCGCATTTCTTAGCATAGACTTATAAGGGTTGTTCTCACAGACATTCGAGAAAAGATCGCTTAAGTAACTAGGTACATTTCCATTCACTGTATCATACATTAATAGACTTAAGTGCCTTTGACGCCTTGAGGCAAGCTCTTCCCAGTTTAGTTGTTTTCGTATTTGTGCTGAACGAACGTCATAACCTTGAAAGGTTATTATGCGTGCAGCACGATTTTGTAATTTCTGGATCCTAGTGGCAAGTCCCTGGTCTAAATTGTCCCAAACAACGTCGCAGTAGTCGAACACAGGCTGGATAAGAGATTTGTAAATAGTATTTAGAACATCTAATGGTACATAATCACGTGCCTGTTTTAGACCACTGATGGATCGATTGACTTTTGAACAAAGTTTGTCAACATGCTCGTTCCATTTAAGATTTTCATCTAAGTGAATTCCTAAATATTTTGTTGTTTGGACTCGTTTAACATGATTGTTGCCAATCTTAATTGGAAAGTCTCTTCCTAAGTTAGATAATTTGAAGGTAGTTGTTAAGAACATATACTCCGTTTTAGTGACATTTAAGCTTAACTTATTTGCAAGAAGCCAGTCCCTAACGCGAGTTAGGTCATTATTTACCTTGGCATATAGTTCAGCAGTGGATACAGAGGACGCATATATCGTGGTATCATCGGCATACATGTGTGCTTTGGTATGGAGAAGACATCCAGGGAGATCATTGATATAAATTAAAAACAACAAAGGGCCTAAAATTGAACCCTGTGGAACACCACAACTTATCAACTGGGGCTTAGATACACAGCCCTCTACTACACACTGCTGTTGCCTATTTGATAGGTACGATGAAAACCAGTCGAGCGTTACACCCTTCAGACCATAGAGCTCAAGCTTTTTTAATAAAATATTATGTGAAACGGTGTCAAAGGCTTTGGCAAGATCGAGAAGCACAATCAAATTGGTCATGCCTTTGTCAATGTTAAGATACCAATTATTTGTTAAATGTAACAGCGCTGTCACTGTAGAGTGAAGGGAACGAAATCCAGACTGGTTTTTTGTCAACAGGCCATTT